GAAAATAAAGATTATTTTTTGTAATATTTTAAAACTTTTTGTAAATATTTAATAAAATAAATAAATAATAAATTTTACATATATATGAAATTATATTTATATAATATATGTTATCTAAAGTTATATACATAAATTTAAATATATTCAAAAAATGTATAAAAATATATCTGGATAAATTCGAATAGATATATGCGAATATATTCGAAAAATATATCTGAATAAATTCGAATCACACAGATATATGTGAATATATTCAAAAAATGTATTCAGATAAATTCGAATACACGAATATATACAAATATATTTGAAAAAATGTATCCAGATAAATTCGAATACACGAATATATGCAAATATATTCGAAAATATATTCGGATAAATTCGAATAAACAAATATATGCGAATATATTTATATATTTATCTGAATAAATTCGAATATTTAATGTGAATAAATGCGTGTGTGGTCAAATATATCTGAATATATTTGGTTCAAATATATTCAGATATACAGTATTTGCTATTAAAAATTTCCTGATACTTTCTTTTTTTCTGGTTCGTGAGAACACTGTGAAGTCGAAATGGACTCCAAAATTGGTTTTGCGAATTCGAGGGGATGTTTGATAAGTTTTTTCTATTTTTTTTCTATTTTTTTTTTAAATAATTAAAATAAATATATACTTACCTTATCCCTTGCCTTAATAATATACTTTCCTTTCTTCTTTCTGGTTCATAAGGATACCGTGAACTTGAAATCAGCTTCGAAGGAGATGTATGATAAGTTTTTTCTATTTTTTTTATTTTTATTTTTATTTTTTTTTGTTAAATAATTAAAAAATCTATACTTATCTTATTTCTTGTCTTAATACATCAGGAAATTTAATTAGGCGTCGATTTACAGAAATATCATATGACCTCCAAAAATTTTCACTTGAAAAATTTGATTTTTAACTTTGGCCAAGATTTAGGTGACAGAGAGCAATTTTCTACTAAGATGTTTCTAAGATAGATCGAAAGCCCTGATTTTTGACTACAAGATTATATGTGTTTCATTACTATATCATCGATATTCGCAGAGAAATTCACGTTTAAATTCAAAACGTTCGTAAAAATTTATGTCATAATTTTTTCGTAAATTTTCGTAATTCTGGCAGAAATTTTTATATGTCACAATAATTTCTACTAGAATTACAAAAATTTACAGAAAAATTAAGGCATAAATTTTCACGGACGTTTTGAATTTAAACGTGAATTTCTTCGCGAATATCGATGATATAGTAATGAAACACATATCATCTTGTAGCCAAAAACCAGGGCTTTCGATCTATCTTAGAAACATCTTAGTAGAAAATCGCTCTCTGTCACCTAAATCTCAGCTAAAGTTAAAAATCAAATTTTCAAGTGAAAATTTTTGAAGGTCATATGATATTTTCGTAAATTAATGTCTAATTAAATTTCCTGATGCTAATACATTTTCCTTTCTTCTTTTCTAGTTCGTGAGGTACTGTGTGATCGAAATTGGCTTCAAAATAGATGTGAGGGGATGTATGGTGAGTTTTTTATATTTTTTTTTATATTTTTTTTGTTAAATAATTAAAAAAACTTATACTTACCTTATCCCTTACCTTAATAATACACTTCACTTTCTTCTTTCTAGTTCGTGAGGATATTATGAGATCAAAATTGGCTTTGAAATGGATGCAAGGGGACAAAATGAACAGGTATTATTGAAATCCATAAAATGGAATTTATAAAGGAAGGAGCAATGACACATAAAGAAGACAAGGCTTTGAAGGACCCACTAATCAATAAATTGACAAAGAACCCATTACACCTAATTCTAACAATGGCCAAGACAAATGAGATGAGCTTTATTACAACGAAAAACTGGATATATTCTATGACCCAAAAAAAGTAAGTTGAGATTATATGTGTTTTCGATGCTAGCTACTATTAGCAGGTTATATTTAGTAGTTATGATATTTTTATGGTTCAACATATATGAAATGAAGATTAGGAACAGTTGTTACCTTTCGAAGCAGGCCTAGGATTTGACTATTTTCTCCCAGTACTTGCCCAGTACAAGTGCAAAAAACTTTACTTTATATTTTTCTGTTTCTTCTACCTTTTTTTTCTCAGGAGTGATCATTGTCCTTTAAACAAGACATAGTAAAGAAAGAAAGATCACGAAGACTTTTCACAGTTTAAAAATCACTAAGTTACATTATAAAGAGTGATTTAATTGCACCAACCAAGAAAACTTTATTTTGTTAGAGTTATAACCAATTACTTAATTTTAATACCTTTTTTTCTTTATCACAAAATCTAAGTCTATCTACAGAAGATCAATTATGAGAATATATTCACTTCCTATAGATATCTGATGATTTCTTAACAAGTAATCCTAAATTAGTTAATAACTTTGAACTTACCAATATTATATCTTTTCAATTTACATTTCTAGAAAAGTTCTTTGAAAGGAGATTACGAAGTATACGTGTTACCCAAATTCCAAATCATTTGGGATTTGAGATTTGGGATTTTGACAAAAAATACTAATCATAATTTGGAATTTGGGATTTGGAATTTTGGCATTTGGAATTTTGGCATTTGGATTTTGAATTTGGGTGGCAGGTATATTATGAAGATGAATCATTAAAAAGTTAATCAATAAAGGATTGTTCCCTTCAGATACTGTAAAGCATAATACTTATTCACTAAAACTTAATACACTTTTCAATTTCCAATTGGATATACTTTCAGATGCTATCTATAACAAACTATATATAAATTATAATTTTATTTTATTAAAAAAATAATTATATTAAAATTTAACATTTGATTTTATTTACTTATTTTTATTTTATTTATTATTTCTTTATTTCAGAATATATGATTTTAATACAAAAAATAAAAATAATAATAAAAATAATAAAATAAAATTTAATAATTTTAAAAAATATTCAATTTATGTATTCATTAATTGATTTACAAAATTTTTAACTTGTATATAAATATTAATACCAAAATTTCCATCATGATTTAGTATATTAAAATTTTGTTGTAATAATATTAATTGTTAAGAATTTAAAATATTTGAAATTTCATTTATATTTACTTGCTCAAATTCTGGTTCTGATAAAGGTCCTTTCCAATCTATACCATAATTATTTAAATTAACAATATTATCAATACTATCTAAAACAATTCTATTTTGTATTGCCCCTCTAATAAATAATTGTTGAGGTGTAAAATTATTTTTAGTTTGTAATTTATGATTATTCCAAGAACATGTAAATTCTTTTAATGTTACTTCAATTTGTGATTGAAATACAAAATGTAAACAAAATAAATCAATTTTATTTTCAGGATCCATATTATAATATTCTTCTAAAAATAAAAAAATACAAACAAAATTTTTTGTAACACAACGAAATAAATCACGCTACAATCTTTCAATTTATTAATTATGAACTAATTAACTACTAATATAACTACCATAATCCAATCCTTTATTAGTTAACATCTATTCAGCAACAGCAATATTTTCTTCTCTATAATCACCACGAGCTCTACTAGAAACTTCATAATTTTCTATAGTATTTAAAAAAAATCTTAATACAGTTTAAGCTTGATTATTTGTACTACAATGCAAATAAGTAATTATTTGAAAATAACCATCAATAGCTCCATGTATAACAAATTTCCAGTATATAAGTTTATGTTTTTCATCTATATACCATAAAGTATTTGGTCCTAAAACCTGATATCTTCTACATGATATAATTTCTGCTCAATGTACAGTTATTTCAAATGGATCAATTCTTCTTAAAGATTCTCTTAATCTTTGTTTTTTAACTTTAATTCCTCAACCTTTAAGGGCACCCATAATTATTATTTGTCTAGCATTTGATTGTTATTCTTTAATAGATAAAATCTCATAATCCAATTTATCATTAGAAAGAATAGTATAAATTTCTTCTACTCTTATATTTAATTCATCTCTTCGTCTAGTAATTGTTTTACTACTTACATTTAACATTTTTACAATTTCTGTTCATGTATATCCTTCTTGAGATAAAGCAACTAATGTATTTTGGAAAATTTGTAATTTAGGATGACCAGCTGAAAGTTTTATATAGATTAATGATTTAACTGATAATTTCTCATTACTTAATTGAACTAATTTATTTTCTAAATTTTCTTTTATACCATTAATTAAACTTAATTGATGTAATATTAAAGAATATGTTGGATGATTAAATTCAATAGAAATTAATAAATAGTCAAACATTATATATAATCTTTCTATTCGATCAATATGAGTTTATATATAATCAGAATCTTCAGAATTAATAAAAGCATCTCTTGTATTATCTATTGTTCCGGATGCAAATTGAAAAATATTTTCTTAAATTCCTTATTGTTATTCATAATAATTAACAGAAAAAAAAATTATTGACAAATAAAATTTATATAATCATTGTTACACATTTAGTTTTATAAAAAAAATATTTTATTAAAATTTATTTTTATATTATACACCTGCTTAATTTCTACTATAAATATTGAAGTATACATTCCTTCTAATTTATATACTTTCCTTTACGAAATTTAAGTGAACTTAAGTATCTCAAAATCGTACAACATCCCATCGACCACTTGAAGAATGACTATAACATAAGTCAGTAGTAAAAGGAGATATATGTCAATTTATGTAGTTTTGACATACTTTGTTTGACAATAACAAAAATGACAACAGGGTTTGTAAATGACGGACTTAGAAGAATAAGGTTAAAATCACTGATTTCAACAAGAAAAATAAGAAAGACTTGGTTAGAGTAGAAACAAAGAAAACAACAAAGACAATATTATTACTTTCCAATCTCTTTATTATCAACTGCATCTCCATTACAATAAAAATGATCGCGATGATGTGATCACTAGTGCAGACTCCATTTTAACAGTACAAACTCCTACTTACTATACAACCTTACAACAAAACCACCTTACAAGATAACTTATACACAGTAGTAAACTCTCCAGATTTTCAAAGACGTACATTACTAGTCTTTCAGGAATTACCTTTGAGATTAAATTTGAAAACGACGATTTGAGCAACAACAGAATAACAACAACAATTAAAAGAACAAAAAAGAAATAGATTAGCTTGAAGCAACAATGACAAGAAAAACAACAAAGACTAGCGCAATTACCACTTATCTCAAAAACACCAACCTCTCCATCGTGACAAAAATGATATCACCAAGCATACACAGTGATCACTGAAGAAGAAAACTGTCTAATAAAAGAAAATCAAGAATCTATTAGAATAATTAGTTGAAATTTTTAAAGTAGTTAATAGATCAGAGGATTAAGGAGTATTAAACGTATTAACAAAGAACCGCTGATTTTGAATCTTGAAATCACCGAACCTGAAGTAGAACCTCGCAAAATCTAACACGAGAGATAGATATTTAAGAAATCCCAATACTCAGTTGTATGAAGATTTAAACCTGAAAATGAAATATCAACATCCATTAGTAACTTTGATGTTAAGAAAGAAGAAAAAGAAGGAAAGAATGTTTTTAATAATAATCATCATCAAAATGAACATATGAAATTCATGGATTCTAATTTTGATCAAAGACCCCTACGAATCGGATCTTGCGGTGAAGTATTTTGACAACAAAAAATTTTTTAAAAACAGAGAAATTAAATAAAGGTATGACTATCGGGACAGTGAAGAAATGTAGGTGAATTGTAACATCGATTCCAGAAATAATTCTATAATTTATAAAGAATATAATAATAAAGTTTTTTTGAGGAATTGAACTTGTGAAATGGGATAAAGGTGTGAGCACTGATAAACGTGGTGGATGTGATGCTTATAATGAACATGGGAATGGCAGAGGAACGCGAAAATACAATATTAATAGTAAAACTAATTGTAAAAATAATAATAAAATTAATAATAGGACTAATAATGAAAATAATAGTGTAGAATTTGATGAAAATTTAGAGGAGTTAAAATTCGTCAAATAAGATAAAGGTGTATCATGTGAGATAAATATAGAGGAACAAGTATTTATAATAATAATTTTAAAATTAACTCTATAAATATTAATAAATGTAATACTAAAGATAATAATAGGATATAATGATACAATCGACAAAATGAGTGATAATGATGCTGTAACTAATCCAATTATTGCATTTCAATTTCAAACAAAATAAGCAAAAAAAAATATTTGTAAAATGAATAAATTGAAAAAAATATTTATTATTATTTATTATTGATTAAATTGAGATTTCATTACTTCTACTACATTATTATTATTACCACATAATGTGGTTTATACAATTATTATTATTATCATATTATTATTATTATAAAATATTATAAAAAATATAAATTCTGAATTTATAACCTCCAATTTTTATAACAAATGAATATATAATGAATATCTATATATAATTACTCACTTATTCCATCTGAACATTTTAATAAAACTTCCTTCAAATTTTTTAAAAATAATTTCAGATCTTCATAATTATTAGAAAGACGTAATGCACTAAAACATATTACAGTATATGGAAGATGATTATATTCTCTTGAATTATTTTTTCACTGAATCTTTAAATTTTATGAAACAATTAATTAATTAAAAATTTTTTTAAAATAAATAATTAACAAATAAATTATACTTTTATTAATTTTCTTGTAAAAATTCTAATATTTTCAATTATGAATTTAAGAACCTTTTGACAATCTTCTTCTGTCTTTAGAGAATTAATAAATTCCCAGAATTTACCAAATAGTGGTTCCCTTTTAAAATTTACACTATTTAATATTTCATCAAAATCAAATTGTTGTAAAAGTTCATCTTTGTTTTTTACAACTTTATATATTGCTGAAAATATAATCATTCAATTATCATTTTTTTTCAAATACTATATTTAAATATATAATAATTAATATATTATTGTAAATAGATTTATAATAAATAAAAAATTATATATATACATTTACAAAATTAAATTGATTGAATCTATTAGACAACTGTGTTAATTCTAGTTCACAAATAGTAGTTACTTCATAATTTATAATAAATATAACTAATTCTTTAGGTTTAAATTTTTCTAAATGATTAAACTAAAATTATAATACAGTTAAATTATATCTAATATAATAAGTTAATTCAAAAAGATTAATATATAAATTATATTATACCTGATACTGGTCGAAAATTGATGAAACATACACATATCGGATACCTGATATGTGCATGGTGTTTCCCTAATATCGGACATATATTGGGTACCTGATATGTGTAGAAAATATTTTATATATATATCGGGTACCCGATAAGTGTAAAAAAATATTTTCTACACTTATCGGGTACCCGATATATGCCCGATATTAGGGAAATACCATGCACATATCGGGTACCCGATATGTATATGTTTTATCAATTTTTGACCAGTGGACAACATCAGATACCTGATATGTGTATGGTATATCCTAATATCAGACATATATTGGGTACCCGATAGATGTAGAAAATATTTTATATATATATTGGATATTCGATAAGTGTAAAAAAATATTTTCTACACCTAATACAGTATATACTTGATATTAGGGACATACCATGCACATATTGGATACCTGATGTGTATATGATTTATTAATTTTTGACCAGTGTAACCATGCACAGAACCATTCATTTTTACAACCACTATTATAATTATATTAACTGATGGAGTTTTGACCATCAATTCTCACTTTGTGGACATCGATAGGTCAACTTGTCGTCTAGATTAAATTAGTAATAATTTAGTTTAGAGTAAGTAGTTAGAACTCAACATGTTAATTCAACATTTGTTTTATTTAATAAAATGTCTAACAAGACTCCGATGGTTAAAAAAAAAAATCATAAAAATGTTACAAATTAAAATTTAAGCTATGAACTAAATACACCTATCAAATAAATTTTAGATCTAAAGCTCACAAATTGAAGGAAAAATAAACATTTAAATTATGAGCAAATATTCAAAATTTAAATGTTCCTCTTTCCTTTGATTTGTGAGATTTAGGTCTAAAACTGTTTTCAGTAGGTGTATTTAGTTCTTAGCTATAATTTTACTTAATAACAGTTTTGATATTTTACTAATAAAAAAGTAAAAAAGATTGATTTTTTCTTATTTATTATCAAAAATCCGGAGTAATTAATTCTTCGAAAGAGATCTACATATAAGAACCATAATCTCGTTCCGGAATAAGAATATTTCAAGAAATATCTTTAAAAGCCTCCTTTCTTCATTAACATTATAAAAGTAATGGTCTAAATTTAAATTTAAACATATTTTTAGTTTCAAATGATAACATCAATAAATAAAGAGATATGTTTTTAACGATTAAAAATTAATTTTTATATGTAATTGGGAAAAGAAAGTTGCCAAATCCTTTATATAATTCCTTTCCGTTTCTAGTGAAACACGAATTAAAATAATTCAAAATGGATAAAATACAATGAATTAATAAAAATCAAATTTTAGATATATATGTTTTTTTTTAAAATATTCAGTTGAATGATTATTACTATTTTCTAAATTCACATCCGATCAATGAATATTTTAATGGTCATTTAACAATTCTAGAAGAGGCGGAGAGAATAAAAATTACAAAAGGCAACAAAACAATATAACAACAATAATCATAACAACTCAGTGAGCAGTAACAATTTTCACATTATTATCAATCACAATATATTGAATTTAATTTGAGCGATATAAATTTCAATGATATAAAGAATCTACAGAAATAGGAATAAAAGATAATAAACTAGATTTCGGTATAATAGTCTTAAGGAAGGAATTTCAATTTTCAAAATGAAATAAAGGGATAAATTATTATTAATTGTAATTTATTGTATTTTTTAAATTATTCAATCAGATAAAGCAACATATGCTCAAGATTCAGCGCCACAACAAGCCATCGATATGACTGGATTGCATATTAATTATGAAATTCAAGCGTCAAACTGGAGTCATATAATAGTAATTAAATATTTTATATTATTTGAACCGTTTAAGATTAATTAACATGATTTCGTTACTTAATACTTCATTTAAGGATAAATTAAATGTTATTTAGCGAATAAAATTCGTATCTTACGTTTCAATCCGCAAGAACTTTTTGAAGAGCATACAATTATGAATACTTTGGGAATTTCGGGAATAAATAAAATTTGTTATAAAGATAATTAATAGGGATGATTTTGAAACTGCAATAAGGTTATAATAAATTAGAAATTTGTTTACGTAGAAATTAAAAATTATCTTTTCATTTTCAATTCAAAGATAATATTTGATATAATAGATACAGTATTAGGTTTTTTTTTGCTTTTTTTTTGGTACATAGGGTGCGCCATTTCTTTTGGGAGTTCTTGTTTCCTTTAAAAAGAATCAATTTCAATATACGATAAAAAAAAAGTAAAAATGATTTAAATCGAATTTTTTTTCATTTATTACTATCCCTATAAAAAAATGCGGTAAATTCTATACAGTGGGTGATCAAAAGTTGTACGACACAATTTTTTTCACTTTTTTAATTATTCGAAACAATTTTTAATGATTCAATTATTGATATGATAGCTAAATAACTAAATAAGTATTCTTCTTTATAAACAGCACATTGTTATAAAAATGAATTTGGTGTTAGAAAAAACATTTGAATTATATTATAGGTACAAGGGTATTGCGTATCGCAAAATCATGTGAAAATCAAGGATAAAATTACCTAACAGGAATAATTATTATTATTTTTAATTTTTTTAAATACTTTTTTCCTGGAGTCGCAGCTATAGAGTTGTGAATATTTATTGTTATTTTTAATATTAATAATATTTAACCGATCTTGGAATTGTAGCTAAATTTATTTTTAAGATTTTGAATATAAAAATAAGTAAATGTTTATATTTTAATGTTTATTTTTATTCAAAACTTGATCCAAAAATTATAATTATTACAAAGGTCTTGGTCTAATTATATTAACATGTCACAAATCCCGTACACTCATATGACGAAAACAGTTACACCACAAGATTAAAGATGTTAGATCATTATGATAATCGTAGTATCCTAATTCGTTAACTTCATACTAAAATAATTTCATGGCATTGTTCACGTTTTGTAGCACGTTAAATTCATATTTGGTTTTTAGGATTAAACTTAAAATAGAAGAATATAGAGTTTAACTGAGCCACTTTTACTCTCGTAACACAAGAATGTTGACATAATAATTAATCATTTATTTATTAATAATTTTATTCCCAAGTAATTGGAATGTATTACTAAAGTTAATTCCAAATTCAAAATATATTTTGACTCGTTAGTATAAAAATTTGCTCTATTACTTCGGAATAATCATTTTTTTTTTTTAGAAAAAAAAAAAAAATCCTATAAAATTTGGGGTTCGTTTGTACAAAAAAAAATAAACTATTATTTATTAACGAAAAATCACAAAAAATCATGTCAATTAATTTTATGATGAAAAAGAAGCATTTTACTTTACCTTTAATAATAGTGTCGGTTTTGTTTTTTTCGATTAGATGCGTTTCTGCTCAAAATGTTTCTAATCTAACTAGTTTACTTAGTCGTATAACTAATATAAATAATCCGGGTACTAGTTCTCCAACTCCAACTAGTAGTCCAGCTCCAACTAGTATAATACCACCAACTAGTAGTCTAGCATCACTAACCAGTAGCTCTACTCCAACTAGTGGTCCAACCCCAACGCCATCTAGTCTAACTCTAACTAATACAACTAGTAGTCCAACTAATACAACGAATACAACTAGTAGTCCAACTCCTAGTGGTGGTTCAGCTGGTAGTTCAACTGCGACTGGTAGTGTAATGATGCTTATGATAAATTTGCAATATTTCAAGCCAATTCTAACAATTATCCATTTTTTACTCGACCAGTTACTCCTACTCCTATTTCTAATGCCGCCGATGGTTCGATTAATAATTTAAATATGTGGAAAGATAAATTAAATCGTATGATTATTTGTTTTTGGACGATTTGCGTTGCTTTTGTTTACGTAATTTTGACTTAATTTACAATTAAATAGAGGGATATATTAAATTCCCTTAAAGTTTAAATAGGACGAAATATTTATTATTTCATTATACTATGTCTATAATATCAAATTTACATTACATCATAACGGCATTTAAATAAATATAGAAATAAAATATTCATTTATTTCGTTTTTTTTTTAACTCAGAAATTTACAAAAAAAATGTCTTCAAAACTTTATTGAACCTCACCTCTTAATATTACGATGTAATTATTGAAGTTGAAAATAAGGAAAATTCTTTATTGCATATCGTCTTCGTTATTAATTAAAAATATTTACCAAGTCAAGTGTATCTGCTCAAATTTTTGATATTATTCTTAAACCTGTTATTATCAATAAATATTATTACTTCTCATTATATTGAAATTTTAATTTATCTACAAGAATTATTATTTTATAAATTTATTTAATTTATTTTAGATTTATTTTTTGACTTGATATTAGCAGCCAATCATGAACATCAGAATTATTCTAGAAACTATTTTTATTTTTTTTTATTGAAGGTAAACACATTTTTTTAGTCTACCGTACTATTTTTGACAATAATTTTGTAATGATGTCGTAGTCAAGTATCCAAATTTTACTTTTGATAGTTCAGATTTGCTTCTCTTCCAGAATCTTCATTAGTATGAGAATGAGCTGTCATCAAGTGGAAGAATTGTAATCTTTACTCTCCCCACCAACCTTAAGAAATGGACCAAGGAAAATTTTTCACATTACAGAAATGTCTATCACTTATTCGTTATTTTCACCTTTTAGTTGATGAAGCCTTAGATTTAATTAACCTTTAAAAAAAAATTATTGACCAGTAATGTGAAATAGCGTCCCATAATGACTAATTAAATGCAATTTTTGCATACTGCTTTGAATTTTAAATGGAATTTATGTTTCTTTTTTTTAAAAAAAAACTTCTTTCATACCATAAACAAACAAAAAAATGGATATTTACCCAGAATGCAATCAAAAATATTATGGATATCTGTGAAAATCTGTCTTTCGAAACATTTCCAAAATTAATTTCTCTATTTTGCCATTTCCACTTGTCCAATATTTCAAGATGCTCAACTAAATGCTAATGAACATCATGAAGTAATGGATGCCTTACGATAGATTTAAAGATATTAAACAAATGGATAGAAGTGGATTTGGAACAATACATTATGCTGGGTGGATTGATAGAGCAATTGGAGAATGGGATATTAAAAAGAGGCATTCAAAAAGTTTAAATTTTTAATTAATATTTAAATTTAATTTTCAAATTTTTATATCACGTTTATATTTTTTAAACGAAAATCAGAAGGAGCTTCAATTCGATTTTATGTAATTACACGAGATCCAGAAACATACAAATATGCAGAAATGAGAATATTTAAAAATTAATTTTAATAATGTCAAAAATTATGTAATCTATAGGGATTATAAATTAGATATACAGTAGTTCACCAAGACTAAATTTTTTGAGTATTCATTTTAATTTTTTTTAGTGACGATAATTTTGTTTTTTTGAATAAATTTAATAGGCGAAGGCCTCCGGTAACATCGATATTCGCGGAGTTATCCTAGTTTAAAGGAAAGAGTCCGCGAAAAAATCGTACAAAAATTTGTTTACGGACGTTTTTCTTTAAACTAGGCTAACTTCGCGAATATCGATTCTACCGGGATGAAACATATATTATTTCGTAGCCAAGAATAAGACCTCTCTTTCTACCTTAGAAATTTTTTAGTAAAAAATTGCTCTACGCGAAAAAACGTGAAATTTCCCGAAATTTTTGCGGTTTTTCGACTTCGCTCGCGATTATAGAATCGTAGAGTGATTTCTACTAAGATGTTTCTAAGATAGAAAGAAAGCTCTTATTCTTGGCTACAAAATTAAATGTGCTTCATCCCGGTAGTATCGATATTCGTGGAGTTATCTAGTTTAATGAAAAACGTCCGTAAAAAAATCGTGGAAAAATCTTGCCCGAATGATTTTTTCACAGACGCTTTTCGTTAAACTGGAATAACTCTGCGAATATCGATACTACTGGGATGAAACACATATCATTTTGTAGCTAAGAGCAAGGCCTTTCTTTCTATATTAAAGTATCTTGATAGAAAATCGTCTACGTTTTATAAATCGCGAGCGAAATCGAAAAAACGTACGTTTTTTCGCGTAGAGCAATTTTCTACTAAGGTATTTCTAAGATATAGTATAAAGAACCATCGTGTTCTTAGCTACAAAATAAATGAGTTTCATCTCGATGCTATCATGATGAAACACATATTACTTTGTAAACAATAACAAGATGATTATTTATATCTTAGGGATACCTTAGTAGAAAATCACTCTACGCTTCGCAAATTGCGAGCGAAGTCGAAAAAAGGTGAAGTCTCCGGAAATTTTTGCGTTTTTTTTTACGTTTTTTCGACTTCGCTCGCGATTTATAAAGCGTAGAGCGTCTTTCTACTAACAAATTTCTAAGGTAGAAAGATAGGTCTTATTCTTGGCTACGAAATAATATATGTTTCATCCCGGTAGAATCGATATTCGCGGATTTATCCTAGTTTAAAGAAAAACGTCCGTAAACAAATTTTTTGCACGATTTTTTCACGGGCTCTTTCCTTTAAACTAGGATAACTCCGCGAATATTGATGTTACCGGAATGAAACACATGTCATTTTGTAACTAAGAACAAGGCCTTTCTTTCTATATTAGAAATACCTTGGTAGAAAATCGCGAACGAAATTGAAAAAAGTAAAAAATCCTCCGAAGGTCTTCGCTAGCAACAAAATCCTCTGGAGGCCTTCGGCTATTAAAATTTACTGATGTTAATTCCAACTTCATATATATTAGGTTGTAACTTAGTGATTTTAATTTAATATGAAATTTCGTTGATTATTAAAAAATAATTTTTTTAAAGGGTACATTTATTTCTCGCCAGGGTAAGATGAAATATTATCAACCTCTATTATAATATTGGGCCAAGGTTGATTCTAAGAGTATATGTCATCAATAACAGAAATTCAATACAATCACATCAACAAATAAACAAGGTTAAAACACTATGCTTTTCCATCATATCCGTTGCTATGCTCTTGAGGTTTTCTAAGAGATCGAATAGTCCCATCTCTTCCTCCATATGTTTTCGATCTTTATACACTTGATTGAAATGAGGGATCAGATAAAAACGTGAAAAATGATATGTGACAAATAAGGTTTCTAGATCTAAGTCCAAAAAAAAAATTGATATTCGGGTTGGGGTGGATTCTAGGAATAAATTTTCTCTTTTTAAAAAATTTAATTAATAAACCTATATAGAATTATAAGAATTATTACTTTTGCGTCATTACATTTGGTAGAATAACACTAAATGTGTCATATTGTCTTTCAACTTCATTCAAACGTTGTTCTATAATCGCAATAATTGATGACATATTCTAACATAGTTCGATCGTTAATGACGATAATTATAATGTTTCAGGATTATTTTGTTTATGGCGTATTTTGACTATTTGGGCTATCGATTTGAATTCGATATAGTGAAGAAAGTACAATTCATTTTTGTTATACGAGAGGAGAAAAATAGATACTTTTGTGGAAATTCGATGATAATATATTTGAAAATCAAAAAATGTTGCTACCTCGATTCTTTCATTTTGTAGTTATAAACACATAATAATATTTCCCTCACTAAATTTTCCTCATGATTTTTCCTGCATGCAGTGCATAATGAAGAAGTAGTGTTGACCAATATATATCCTCAGAATTAGTATTCTCTTGTAAAGATATATCAGGTACTTCTCTGATACTTTGCTATGGGAAATAAACACGGTCAGGAGACAGATTATTCAGTTTTTTAAACATTGCACATATCTTTTTTCAGTGAGGTATTTCCAGACAATGCACTTACCTGCTTCTTTTTCATGAGGTTACATAGTAAGAAATATTTGCATAGACCAATTACTTCCCTTTGCTACGCTCTTTCTCACATCCCAAATATATCCCTAAACCATCTATCTTTATTATGACACAAAGATAGTTAAGAATACTTTTTTCAATGATATAGGAAGCGTAAGCATTGAACCGTACGGAATAACTGGTTTATTCTCTCAGGTTCAAGGAATTGGCTACGTACTTACCTTGACAGCTAATAATTTTTTCGAAGACTTATGTCTGAGATTCGCACCTGACTGAGTCTCTGATGAAAAATTTTCAGGCGATATACTTAGTTTTGAAAAAGGTGGTTTTTGAAATTACTTATCATATGATATTTTGGATTCGAGTGTTGTTTTAAGATCACATTTGTGCTATTTGTAACTTACTCGAATTTTCTATAACTAAAGATATAGATTTTCTAGCTCTAAGAGTTTAACTTCTTTGTATATGTATACCATACTTTTTGCTATTTTAATCTTAACTATCAACCCTTTTATCTGTAGTTACACCAATTCAAAAAATTTTCTTGTCCAGATTGAATTGCATTTCGGGACATACAAACTCATGCTTTTTTTCCGTAATCTGATTATATTGATCTTCACTACCCAATAAGTTCTGAGGAATAATTCTTGTTTAAATCTTGTTTTACGATCTGGTTTTTTTATCAATCATCATTATATTCAGAATCAGACTATTTGGATAGCGAACAATGATTCGTCAAGATTTTGATTATGAGTACACGCAACTCGAACAGAAATTAGTCAATCTTCTAAGAGGGAGTTAGAAGACTTCAAAAACCATTATGCAGATGTAATTATGATATTGAGCATGAGACCGCTAAAGTCATCACTCTTTAAATTATCCATTACAGACAAGACAGGATGAATCTGACTTTCAAAATGGTACAAACACAAACCTGGTTATAACAATTATGTTGGTATAGGTCGACGATGCAATCGTGATTCACTTAAGTGATGATCCGTGTCAGAAATGATCACAACGTAGGGCATGTGACGACGGGCTTGTGTTCAGATATTAGGATATTATCAGTTATCATATCAGGGTTGGATATAAAAAAAAAATCAGTTATCATATCAGATAAGGATGCATCTATATATGAACCTTAACTTATAAATGTAATGATCACAGTATACTGTATTTCTATCCCAAAAAAAAATAAAATTATTCTAATAATCTATAAATAAGAATATTACATGAATTTTTAACGTCTAAAAACAAAGTGGAAAAAAGTAAAGGGACATTATCTATTATATTCATTGCCCATTATGTATTCACTTTAAATACATATTATTCAATTTACTCTCATTTCGACGCTTTATTCACTCCCAAGAACTTTTTTCTTCGTTTTTTTTTCTTGGACCGATATAATTGAAAAAAAATTATTATCCACGAATTTAATTTTATGAATAAATTAATAATAACAATCAATTTAATGTCATTCAAATAATCAAAAATTGTGTTCGAAGTAATCGAAATAATTAAAATAATTAAAATAAAATATCAAAATAATTAAAATAATTAAAATAATTAAAATAAAATATCAAAATAATTAAATACAATGGGTGTGTAAAAAACAATATTAAATGTATATCTCACAAAGAATATTCTAATCATTTAAATGGTTAATGAACCCGATGATCAGTAATATTTGAATTTAATTTGAGCGGTATAAATATCAATGAATATAAATAAGAATAAATGACTATAAATTAAGGTTTGGTATACAGTAAATATCTTGAGGAAGAAATTTCAATTTTCTAAATGAAAATTAAAGAGAAATTAGAAGTTTTGGAAGTTATTTCTAAAGTTCATTTAAATCTTGTCATATAAGAAAATGCAATTGGTTTGGTACTATTTTATTAATAATTAATAATATTTAACAATGTTTTTAATATTTTAATAATATTTTAACAGATTTCATATAATTAAAATTATTCAATTAGATAAACCATTCACATTTATGAGCGTCACAACAAGCGATCGATACTATTGATTGCATATTATTTATACAAGAGAGATAATAAATTAGAAATTTAGTGTACGTAGAAATTAAAAGTTCTTTTTTTTCATTTTCATCTCAAAGAATAATATTTGATGATAGGTAAAGTATTAGGTTTTTCTTTGGTGCATAGGATATGCGCATTTTTTTAGGGTTTCTTGTTTCCTTTAAACGAATCGATTTTAATAAAATAAAATAAAATTAAATTTTGAATTTTTTTTTATTTATTATTATTTTTATTCTATCACGATAAAATTGATTTTACACTTCGCAGTAAATCCTATAAACTAACGTGCCGAATTTATTTACATTTTCATATGTGCTATAGTTATTAAATCATATGATAATATTTCGTGACGCTTTTTAAAATATTCGAGACAATTTTTTTTATAATCAATTATTGATATTGATTAATTTATGTTGAACTGCAAATTCCATAATTCAAATGCTTTTTTCAAGTAAATTAATAATTATTTAAATTCATTTGTTAGTACAATAGAGTTGTGGACATAATGTAGCATTTATTGTTCTTTTTGATATTAGTATTTCCTGATTCTTATATTTTATTGTTTATTTTATTCAAATTCTTTATCATTTTATAAATGAATATATATAAAGTATCTAAGATATAAATGTCATAATATGACTAAAATTGTCTCAAATGTGAATTTTTTTTGTTTGTGAGATCATATGATGAAAATATAGTTTTTATCACCACAAGTTGCGTAAGTCATGAAGGCTTAAAAAAATTATAATGAATCAAACTAATTAATTATACGTATTTACTGTATTTTCTCCGTGAATTAAATATTCTGAGCTTTATTTTAAATATATATATATTAATTTATTATAATTTCTCGAATTTTCGATCTTATTATCGTTATCGTAGTATCCTAATTCGTGAAATTACCCTTTCTTTGTTAAAATACTAAAAAAGGTAATTATAGATAACGTCTTGTAACACTTAGGCATTGTTCAAATTTATATATATATTTTTTTTAGAATTAATCCTTTAATAGTAAAGAGCATCGACTGAGTCACTTTTGCTTCGTAGAACAAAATGTTAAATGATGAATTAGTTCGAATGTATTACTAAAGTTGATCCCAAATTCCAAATATATTTTTGCTAGATCTTTGACTCATCAGTATAAAAAATCAACTCGATTACTTGCCTATCTTTAAAATAATCTTTTTTTTAAAAAAAAATTCATTATTTTTAATTTTTTAAAAAATAATTCTTAAAAAATAGCATTAGTTTAAAATTCATTTGTACAAAAAAAAAAATTAAACTATATATTTTATTAACGAAACGATAAATCAAATCACAAAAATCATGTCAATTAATTTTATGATGATGAAAAAGAAGCATTTTACTTTACTTTTAATTATTGTGTTGGTTTTGTTTATTTCGATTAGATGCGCTTCGGCTCAATCAACCGCTAATAATCCTCCATTTAGTGTATTTAATAGTTTAACTAGTGCTATATCTATACCTTTTCCACCTCCACCTGATACAACTTCAACTGATACAACTTCAACTGATACAACTTCAACTGGTACAACTTCAACTGATACAACTTCAACTGATACAAATAGTAGTTCGCTTCCAACTGAAATAACTAGTAGTCCAACTCCACCTGATACAACTCCAACTGATACAACTAGTGGTTCAATTCCAACTGGCACAACTAGTAGTCCAACTGAAACAGCTAGTAGTTCAACTATAACTCCATCTGTTGCACCTAGTATTCAAACCATACCAACCACCGCATCAACTGGTAGTGTAATGATTCTTATGATAAATTTACAAATTCTCAAACCAATTCTAACAGTTATTCCATTTTTACTTGATCAGTTCCTGCTTCTTCTTCTTCTAAATCCGCCGGTAATTCGCTTAATAATTCAAATATGTGGAAAGATAAATTAAATCGTATGATTATTTGTTTGTGGATGATTTGCGTTGCTTTTGTTTACGGATTTTGACTTAATTTATGATTAAATAGAGGGATATTTTAAATTCCCTTAAAGTTTAAATTGGTTAAATATTTCATATCGCATTATATAATATCTATAATACATATCTAGTTTACATTACATCCTAACAGTCATTTAAATAAATATATAAATAAATATTTCATTGTTTCCCATTTTGTTTTATTTCTTTCATTTTTTTCAACTCAAAAATTTACAAAAAAAATTTCTTTGAAATTTTTTGCAAGTTATCTCGAAACTTTATTGAACTTCTTAAAATTGCAATGTAATCATTGAGGTTGAAAATATGGAAAATTGTTTACTGCATTGGAATATCGATCGTCTTGCTTCCGTTCCGTTAGTAATTAAAATAATTACTAAGTCAAGTGTATCTGCTCAAGTAAGTTTGGACATTATTCTTAAACATGTTATTATCAATAACAAAGAAAATACCCGAATGGTTACTGAACTATACGGGTCAGAAGTTTTTACATCTATAATTATCATTATATTGAAATTTTTAATTTATCTATAGTATTACTATATATATTACAAGAAATTCTTTATTATAATTAGAGATACTGTATATTTAAATCTCTCGTTTACCGTTCTTAAACTTTCTACTAAGCTGAAAAAAGAAGTAAATTTTCTGTTTCGCTTTGTTACACTAATTTCTATCCTCTGTAAATCCTTTGATTAAGGAAAACCTTATTATGCCAAGGACCACTTTCGTCAATGTTTCTTCTGAGATTACTTCGCTCATCCGTAGGACTTCACTTATTATTCTATTTTAAACGTAAATAATACAGTAATAATTATTCAAGAGCTAGTTTGTGTAACAACACGTCGTTAATGATCACCCTTCCCACACATCTCACAATAACGTGTCATGACTGATACAACCAATCAAAATCGTTAAAACGCACAAAAAAATATTTATCCACAAACTAGAAACTATTTATGTTAATTTATTGAAAATAAAATTTCTTGATTAAAATCGCATTTTTATTTTAGTCTATCATATAATTTTGACAAAAAATTTTTGTAATGATGCCGTAGCATCAGGAAATTTTTTAGGCGTAAATCTCCGTAACATTTGCGACACCTACTGTACGTAATATTACGGCATTTATACGGCCGTTTTAAATTTAGAACAATGTATCAGCGGATATCGGTGATAAAAGGATAAAGAATGTTTCATCTTGCAACCCAGAATCAGGGCTTTCGTTCGGTCATAAGAATACCTTTATCAAAAACCCCTCCCTGTCCTAAAAATCGTAATCGAAGTCAAAAAAAGGATTTTTTTTGTCGCGGTTAAAATTCCGTAATTTCTCCATACTTTCTTCGTAAATTCTCCGCAATCTGTACGCCGTAAAATCCATTTTTTTTGCTATTTTTAGGACAGTGAGGGATTTTTTTAATTAAGGTATTCATATGACCAAAAGGGAGCCCTGATCCTGGGCTACAAGATGATATATGTTTTATCCTTTTATCACCGTTATCCGCTGATATATTACGGTTTAAATTCAATACGGCTTGTATAAATACGTAGATGTTGGAGATTTCCGCCTAAAAAAATTTCCGGATGTAGTTAAGTATTCAAATCTTATTTTTGATATCTCAGATTTTATTTCCCTTCCAGAATTCTTCACCGGTATTGAATGATTTGCAAATGAATCAAGTTAGCATTCGGGATTATGTCATTAAGTGCGGGGAAGGAACATATTCGTTGTTTTCATCTTTTAGTTAATGAAATCTTAGACTTAATTAACCTTTAAAAAAATTATTGACCAGTTTACACTATTACCTCGTAAAAATGAATCACTGGGATCGTGTATGCTGATCGTAAAATAATTAATCATTCAAATAATTTTAAATGGAATTAGAGATAGTTTTGTCCACAAACATTTTGTAATATCTGCCATGGTCATGCTTATACAGTTGTTATGGCGAAAGTTAAAGAAACATGTGAAGTCATAATCTTTTAGCAAAGAATAATATTTAAATATGGAAATTTCAAAGTTCAATTCTTAGCGGAACAAAGGAAACTGAATGTGCAATTTTTGCAAAAATAATCAAAAAGTTTGTCAATCGAATTTTTACGAAAAAACTACCTATTAGAATAATTATGAAGTATTGAAGCATTTAAAGTTAGAAATCTTAAACAATGAAAATTTTATTTTATTTAATTGTATTTTGTTATGACAATTAATCCAACAATTTCGCATCGGTAAAACTACAGATTGTTAACGTAATTTATTTAATGATAACTAAATATTTCTGATATTCATTTTTTCAAATGAATAAATTTGAAATCACAAAGGGATGAAAATAACTTAAACACCAAATATTATTTCTTTCTGAAATAAATTTATTAAGATAGATGCTTTTTATTGATTTATGTTTATTCAAATGTTTGGAGTTCTTGCGAGGAGTTTTGCGCTTTAAAAAGAAGAATGCGGCAATATTTCATATAAAAATTAACTAAATTAATAAAAATAAAAATAGCAGTTTAAAATAATGAAACACACAAAGCATACGAAACAATTAGCAATTCTAAATGCTCTCAATAAAATTTGCAAATAAAATAATTGCTTCACCTTTGTTTCATTTTACCCATTTTCTATTTTTCATGTATCTTTGAAAATTCGTGATTTTATAAGATTGTATCATCGAAGATAAGTTTAATGATAAAGTCCATTCAATTCACATTGTCCTTACCTTTGCGAATGATCAAAGAAAATAATTATCAGTAACGATGACAATATTAAAATTATACAGAAAATATCTGTTAAAGTTTTTATGCCCAATTTGTTCCCTTGACGATCACCATTTAATTTTTGTAAAAGCCTTATTTTAAAAAACAGGCTTCGAAACAATTATTTCAAATTATTGGTTAAATATTCTGTTCAACTCTCTCACTTTCCTCTCTGAAATTTTTATCAATTAATATAATATATGTAAATCAATATTGGAAACAATATTTGCAACTCCACTTTCCAAACTTTTTTTTTTTTGGTAAAAGAGTTCCATAACCATTAGTCAAGTCGCTACATAAAATTTATGAAGTGCACTTTCCTTTGATGATCTTTTGTAAAAGGAATGATTTCCGCGTTTTTGGATTTTTAATAAAATTAATAGCTCATCGGCATAAAAATAAATTTTATTTTCGTAGATATGGTATTTTTCTTTCTAATTAAAGACGGACTTTTCAAAATTCCATTCGAAATAATAGTAATGTGGCGGAACAAATTGGTAATCAAGTGAAGTGTTACGAGAGATGATAGTGTACGATCGTTCGTGTAGCCAACCGAAGGTTGCGCCGAAGGATGAAGGATGAAGCACAAAAGATGAGGATAAATGTAAACAAAAGAGAAAGTATAAAAATGAAATGATTGTTGGTGGGATTAGTTTCGGGAGTTCTGAAGTTAGGAACTCTAACACACTGTAATATTTCTATCATTGAATGATACTTTTATTAAGTGTACCCTTTTTATTTTAATAAACTTATCTTTTGTGTCATAATATTGTGAAATGCTATTAAATATTTTTGATACTATGTTAATGCTTTTACTCCACCTTACTCATAGTGCCTTTTGTTATTTTGAGTATTATTGTGATATTGTTTATATTTTACTATCTATTTTGAGTTAGGCAGGTTTAGATTGACTGATAGCTTGATTAGCTTGATCCACTGGGAGATAGAGCGTATTGTTAATAAATTTGTGAGATACAAATTTTGGGATTGATTTGCGAAATACTCTGTACCTACATGACAATGTAAATAATATTAAATTAAATGAGTCGATGGATGATATATCATCTTGACGATTAATTGTCACAATTAATAATCAATTACCAAATTGTTCGATTCAGCATCAAGTAAAATATTTGATTTAACTGGTTGGCATAATTTAAAAGAGATAATCATCTAGAAAAGGATTTGTATTAAGACAACTTACTTGATGAATGTCGAGATGAAAGTTAATTTGTGTGGCTCGAATATAAATTTAAAATTATTTTTTTTTCGTTTAAAAAAGATCCATTTTTTATTACATTTTAACGAGAATTCAGGATCAGAGGGTATTTAATTAGCTTGATTTTTTAGTTTGCATATTTAAATGTCCTTCATATTTTTTGACAGATTTTTCAGAACTTCTTAATGACAAAAAAGAATAAAATGTTATCATTGAAGTTGATAAAGAAGAAAACAAGAAATATTTTACTTCACACGTTACCGTTCAACCTACTTCACTTAAGGATTAGAAAAAATTGTTACAAATGAAAATCATGTCAAAACTTTAATTAAACCAATATTTCTGCCCAAATATTCGAAATCATTCTTAAGTAAGGTCAAGAAAATTATTTATTATTTCAAATATTAAAAAATTATCATAAAGTATTTCTATATAGATGATTCAAAATTAATATATTTTTATATTTATTTAGAGTAAATCTATTTGCCACCAGTGATGATTGTCACCACTGGGCAAAATTACATAATTCTCTAACCCTAAATTTGTTAATTTTGCCCAACGGGGACTATCACGAGCGTGAAAATCATACTTTTTTTTTTTTATTTAACATAGATATAGCGGAGTTGTTAACATTACAATTTTCTTCGACAATTATTCCATAAATGATTTTTGTTTCTATATTTTTAAAGTCACCTTGTTGAATCTGAAGCTTGGTTAGGAATTCACTTTCTCCCGTATCTATCATTCAATCTTCAATGCAATGAACTCAAAGGTTTGAAACAAATTTTTACAATGATATTATTACCAAGCATCCAAATTAAATTTGAATTTGAATCTGAACTTTACACTTCGCTCCTTATTGATTTCCATTTTGGAAAAGGATAACTTGCATTGAAATTTGGGATTATGTTATCGAATGGGGAATTGTGCAAAATTCTACTTTGCCTACAAAATTTTGGTATTTGAAAATTGCTAAAGCTCATCGGTGGTGATTGTCACTACTGGGCAAAATTAAATTTACGTGGGCAAAGTTAA